GCGCGTGCCCCAGGAGTCACTCAAAGGAGACGTCACTAAGCAGCTGCTCTGAGCCATCGGCGTTTCTGTTGCCAGCTGTGAGCAGGGTCCAGTTAACAAGTTGAAAAGAATCCTTGTGCATCTGAGAGCCTCCCTGGGCGAAGGTGGAAAGAGAAGGAACTGGGGTGCGCAGGGAAGTGTGTGTGTGTGTGTGTGTGTGTGTGTTGACTTGGAGCCCCTTGGAGACCAGTTTTCACCATCGAACACACGGGCGATGTTGCCTTGGTGAGAACTCAGAGGACCTGGTGGGGCTTGGCCAAGACAGTGCCGGGCTCCAGCTCTCCTGCAGGTGGACCAGAGAGTGACTGCTGCCCTCAGCCTCTCCTTAATGTTGCCCTTCTACGCTGGGACCGGAGGAATCCAGGCTGCCATGCCCGGAGTGCCCCACACCCAGCCCTGCCCAGGGGTCTCTTCCTCCTTAGACCCACCCCCTAAACTCACTGCCACAGAGTCAGTTCAGACTCATACAGGGCAGGGTCAAACCGCCCCTGTTGTTTCCATGGCATAGTCTTTACGGGAGTAGAAAGCCTGGTCTCCTGAGGAGCAGCTGGTGAGTTCAAACTGCTGACTTTGTGGTTAGCCGCAAGTCCAACACATAACTTACTACGTCTCCAGGGCTCCTTGAGCAGCGGACATTAGAGAGGGAGGTCCAATGAAGGGTCTGCCCATCTGACCTTGACTCTCCTCTGAGCCTATCCCCTGCACCTCTCTGGGAGTGGGCCTGACCTCTGCACCTTCTCTCCTCTGCAGGGAGCCCGGCCGATAATGCTTCCCTCAAATCTGGGGACCGGATCCTCTTCCTCAACGGACTGGACATGAGGTCAGAGGCCACTGGGGACATCAAGCTTGATGATGAGCTGTCCCCCAGCCCTTGCCTCACAGGCACCAGGCCAAGGTCCCAATCTCCTGGAGCCATTTAATCCCCAGAAGCTGTCTCTCTCCCTAAGAAGACTCTGAGTTGCCCACTCTCAGCAGGACCTCAGCTTATTCATCCCACCAGAAAACACCTTTAAGGCCCGTGTCCCCTGCTCCACTCTGGGGACGCAGTTGAGGGGACTGCCTTTGTTTGCCCTGGAGGGGAGGCCTTGCCTTGGGGTGCACAGACACAGCCCGCCTCTGTCTCCAGCAGGGACTTGGGGGGAGATCTGGGTAATGGTCGTGGGCGGGGCTCACTCCGCAGGACCCCACTCTGGCCATCTGTCCCGTAGGAACTGCTCCCACGACAAGGTGGTGTCCATGCTGCAGGGCAGTGGCGCCATGCCCACCCTGGTGGTGGAGGAGGGCCTCACCCCGTTCACCAGTGGTGAGTCGTTCCCACCCCGCACGTCATGCCCCGTTCCCCCGTTCGCCAGTGGTGAGTTGTTCCCACCGGCCACTGACGTGCAGAGACCCTGTAGAGGTGGAGCAGTTGGGGTGGGGTGGGTGCATACACGGAACCCCTGAGGCCTGCAGAGGGTGATATTCTTCCCTCATGCCTGTGGGAACCCTGCTTACTAGTGCTTTCCCCCCCTGGGACCCCACAGACTCAGACTCGCTGGACTCCCCCCGCCCGTCCTCAGCTCTGACGTCCCTGCAGTGGGTGGCGGACATCCTGCCTTCCAGCATCCGAGTCCAGGGGAGGACCTTCAGCCAGCAGCTGGAACACCTGCTTACGCCCCCCGAGCGCTACGGGGTCTGCCGGGCCCTCGAGAGCTTCTTCCAGCACAGGTGGCCAGGCCTGTGGGGTGGGGACCTACCTAGACTCGCCATCCCAGGGTCCCTGCCTGAGCCTCCTGGGGGTGAGGGGAACCAAGAAGGCAGCTGGTACCTCGACTCTAACACTAAGTCACTGCCCACCCCTCTGTGACTTGAAGCAGTGACATTGTTGATTCATTCTTGAATTTAGACACTGCTCTTCCATAGAGTGCCTTGCGATCGGGCAGCCTGGTGGTGCAGTGAATTAAGTAGTGGGAAGCTAACCTGAAGGTTGGCAGTTCGAACCCACTGGTTACTTCTTGGGAGAAAGATACGGCTGCCTGTTTCTCCCCAAAATCGACAGCATCCAAAGCCATGGAGGAGCAGCTCCACACTGTCCTGCTGTCCTGTCGGCCACTATGGAAGGCAGTAGGCAGGTTGCACAGTGGGCTAAGTATTGGGCTGCCAGTGGAAAGGTTAGCAGTTTGAACCCACCAGCCATTCCTGGGGAGAAAGAGGAGGCCTTGGAAATTCTATGGGATCATTCTGGTCTGTCCTGCAGGGTGTCCATGCGTCAGAACCTACTCAATGGCATTCAACGTCTTCTATTGCTTCTGTAATGTTCATTCGTCTCAGTTAGGCGTCTTTGAACAGACACCGTTACCCATTCCATCAGACGGACTGCATTTGGGGGCCTTATGGCTTGGGGGTTTGAAATGTTGTGTGAGAAGACTTTCCCTGCTCTCCACGCTCTAGGTTTACCGGTTGTTGATCTGGAGTTCTCCTCGATGGGTGGAGTGCCATAAGGGCCTGTCTCCACAGGGTCCAGCATTGGTGGCACAGTAACTGAGTGCTCAGCTGCTAACTCCACAGTCTGCTTCTACTCTTGAAACCCACACGGGCAGTTCGACTCCGCTGAGTGGATTCTGACTGATGGTGACCCTGTAAGACAAGATGGAAGTGCCCCCCGTGGGCTTCTGAAGCTGTACCTCTTGATGAGAACAGAAAACCTCATCTTTCTTCCTCACAAAGCAGCTGGTGGTTTCAAACCGTTGACCTTGCAACTAGCGGCCTCATGTATAACCCACGACTCTTATAGGGTCGCTCGGAATGGGCTTGATGGCCATGGGTTGGGTGGTGCAGAACTCATCCAACTGCCAGATGGTCAGCGCCTTAGGCTAAGTCACAACTGCTCACCCTCAAGAGAGCCCTAGTAGCATAGTTGGTTATGTGTTGGGCTGCTAACCACAAGGTCAGCAATTCGAACCTACCAGCCTCTCCGAGGGAGCATTATGAGGGCTTCTACTCTCCTGACCATTGAGTCTCAGAAACCCACAGGGGGTCAGTTGTACCCTGCTCTATAGGGTCGCTATGTGTGAGATCCACTTGAGGACAATTGGGCTTTGAGTTTACTCAGCCCTGATAGCACAGCCCTGATACAACCGAGGGGCTTCCAAAAATCCACGGACAACTCATGCAAGCAGAGAAGCTTGCCACACACTTTTCAAGCCCAACTCTCTCATATAAGCAACCACGCAGGCAGGACTGTGTCCCAGGAAAACGTTCGTAACAAAACCAGGGTGTGGGCCAGACGAGGGCCTACAGCCTGTACCCTGCTTGTACTTGATGGGCAGTCACCAGTTGCCATCGACTTAACTCCAACTCAACCCGACGCCAACACACCTTCACACGAATACACCTTCATGCTGAAGGGTCTCCAGTGACTGTTTTTTAAAAAAAGTAATTTTGCTGGGGGCTCATACAGCATTTATCACTATACAGCCATCCATCCGTTGTGTCGAGCACATTTGTACATTGTTGTCATCATCGTTCCCATCATTTTCTTTCTACTTGAGCCCTTGGTATCAGCGCATTTTCCCCCTTCCCTTCCCCACCCTCCCTCCTTCTTGAACCCTTGATAATTTATCCATTAGTATTTTTTTTCTTGTCTTACACAGGCTGATGTCTCCCTTCACCCACTTTTCTGTTGTCCGTCCCCCAGGGAGGGGGTTCTTTTTTTTTTTTTTTTTAGGGATAAGAAAGGCTTTATTTAGACAAAACAATGCTAGTCATTTCTGTGTTTCTGGACATCAACCTAGAGTTGGTTCTGGTTAAAGGTAGCTGTCCTTCCTCTCTTCTCCAAGAACTCCTCCTGGGAGGGGGTTCTATGTAGATCATTGTGATCGGTCCCCCTCCCTCTCCCCCCCTCCCCCTCCAAGTGGTTGTTTTATCAAAGTAACTTCCCAGGTATTACCTCTGAGGCGCCTCTGGGTGTTCTCAAACCTTGGACCTTTCAGTGAGGCACCGGGCACACCCAGCTGGTATCCCTTCTGGAGTGGGTCTGTTTGCCTGCCACATTGGTCTGTTTGTACCTGCACAGTTCAGTGCCCCAGGTGCCATTCTTACCCCCCATTTTACAGATGGGAAACTGAGGCTCAGGGCACTTAATTAACCTGAGACAGGTCATTTAGCTGGTAAGTGGCCAAGCTGGGGTTTGAATCCGGGCTGCCTGTCCCCCGAGCCTGCACTCCTGCCCACATCTCCATCCTGCGTGGAGGATGGAGGCCAAATTCCATGACCTGGAAATGTTCCTGGGCCCACCTCCACCCTGTCCCCCATGGAGGACCCCTGGGTGATGAGTCCCGCTCTCTGGTGCCGCCCCCCACCCAGGAACATTGACACCCTGATTGTGGACGTCTATCCCGTCCTGGACACCCCCGTCAAGCAGGTCCTCTGGCAGTTCGTCTACCAGCTGCTGACGTACGAAGAGCAGGAGCTGTGTCAGGAGAAGATGGCCTGCTTCCTGGGTTACACAGCCATGACAGGTGAGCAGGGTCCCTGCAGGAGCCGTTCCACTCCCTGAAGATTGACAGTCTTGGAAACCTACAGGGGCAGTCCCACTCTGCCCTAGAGGGGCCCGGTGGGTCGGAATTGACTAAGCGGTGCTGAGTTTTTGAGTTTGGGTTTGTCTGCGGAGAGGACAGGAGGACCCACCTCCCTGCACGTCCCCCTCAGAGCCTGAGCCGGAGCTGACCCCCGAGCCGACCCCTGAGCCGACCCCTGAGCCCCAGCCTCGCAGCTCCCTGAGGGCTGCCTCCGTGTGCCGTCGCAGCCTCCGGGCTCCGGGCCTGGACACCACCCTGGGCTGCGGTGAGAACCGAGAGCAGGCCGGCAGGGCAGAACGGGAGTCTGCCCATGGGACCTACTTTTCTCACCTGCACAGTGGGCATGGTAAGATAACGGGTCCCAGGGGGCAGGGGTGGGCTGGCTGGGCAGGGGCCCCTGGTTCTTTGAGGCACCTGAGATTGTGCCTTCAGGAGTGGGGAGCAGACCCTTCGTTGCTGACTTGGCCCCTGATTCCGGCAGGACCTGGCGAGTGTCCTGAGATGTCACTTCCTCTGGTCCCAGGCGAGCGCCAGGCAGGGGATGGCACGTCCCTCCCTGAGACCCCCAACCCCAAGATGGTGAGACTTCCTGATGGGGCCCGAGGGTGCTGGGTCAGGAGGGCTGGGAGGCCACGTGGTGGGGCTGAGTGAGCCGGACTCACCCCACCTCTCACAGATGTCTGCTGTCTACGCGGAACTCGAATCCCGACTGAATAGCAGCTTCAAAGGGAAGCGGGGGACCCTGTCCAGATCCCGGGCCTCCCCGCCAGTGCCCAGCCCAGCAGGCAATGCAGGTAGGTGCGTGACAGCCCTATACCAACCTGCATCCAAGGCCCAGGCCAAGGTGTGCCCTGCAGCCTCCCCTCTGGACCACACGACTGAGCTGGGAGGGGTGCCCTGCTGGTGCCCTCTCAGTGGCTATGGCTGTGGGGCATGTGTTGCTGTGTGAAAAGCACAGTGGGGAATACGGCGGAGGGTGGCTCTGAGGCTCCGGTGGGCCCGTGGGGTTTCCCATGGGATGTGGGAGGTGCCTTGTGGCACTTGGGCCTCTGGGCCCCTGCAGTGCTGCCCTGTAGGTGTGAAGGCTGAGCCTGGTGCAGGGCTCCGGGGTAGGAGGGCACCCCAGGTGTCCCCTCCCAGAGCAGCTTGCCAGGGACTAGGAAATGCCCCCTACCACGTCTGGGCAGAGGAGGCAGGGTGGCCTAATGTCTTCCTATGAGTGCCCAGGGAGGGAAGGGGCACCAAGACCCAGTGCCACCTGCCCAGCCCCACCCCCAGCAGCCAGGTACCCGCAGAAGGGGTCCTCACAGCTCGGTCCATCCCCCACTCCAGGGCCCAGGACCCTGTCCGGCGTCTCCTGGCCCAGCGAGCAGCTGCTGCCCTCTCCCTGCTACTACCCACTGTGCCCGGGGGGCCTGGCCTCCCCCAGCAGCTCCGAGTCCCACCCCTACGCCAGCCTGGACAGCAGCAGGGCGCCCTCCCCACAGCCAGGCCCAGGGCCCACCCGCCCCGACAGCCCCCCCAGCCCGGACCCTGCCCGCCCGCCCAGCCGCAGGAAGCTCTTCGCTCTCTCCCGGCCTGTGCGGAGCCGAGACACTGACCGCTTCCTGGATGTGCTGAGTGAGCAACTGGGTCCCCGGGTCGGCACCCTGGATGACTTCCTGAGCCCTGAGAACGATTATGAGGAGGTGGGTGCACAGGCCGTGGGCAGCAGCTCCCTAGGCCCCAAGAGCTGCCCTACTTTTTATCCACCAGCCCCAGCCTGGCCTAGACTCTGTCCCAGGCTACCTCATCCCCCACCCCTTAAGCTAGCCCAGCCCTGGCCACAAGCCACCCCATCATCTGCCTGGGCTATCCCATTCACTGAACCGAACCAGACTACACCATACATCCTGCCTTCGCTGCCCCCTCTCTGTGTCCCTTGCTCCCAGGCTGCCCTGCACTCACTCAGGCTGGGCCCCCGGGCTCTGCCATCCTTTCCTCCCTAGACTGTTCCACCGCTGCCCAAGGCTACCCCACACCCCCTTAGTAGGCTAAGGCTACTCCATTCTTGATCCCAAGCCAGCCTGTATTCTTTCCGGCTGTCTCATCCACAGCCTCAGGTTGTCCACTCCCTGCCCCAGGCTACTCTACCTGCCCTTCCTTTGCCCCATGCCCCATGACACACACACACACACACACACACACACACACACACACACACACACACACTCACACACGGCTCCATCTCAGAGACCTTATCCTGGCCTAACCCTACCCTGGCCTGCCCCTCTGCCACCAGATGAGTTTCCACGATGACCAGGGCAGCTTCCTGACCAATGAACGGAGCAGCGCCAGCGAGTGCGTCAGCAGCAGCGAGGAAGGCAGCTCCCTGACCTACTCCTCCATCTCTGACCACATCCCCCCACCCCCACTCAGCCCCCCACCGCCACCTCCCCTGCCCTTCCATGACCCCAAGCCCAGCTCTCGCACTCCTGATGGTCCCCGGGGCCCTGCTCATATGCCAACCAAGCCCCTCACCCAACTCAGCCATCCAGCCCCTCCTCCGCCCCCACCCCCCCTGCCCCCACCTGTGCCCTGTGTGCCCCCCATGCTGTCCCGAGGCCTGGGCCACCGCCGCAGTGAGACCAGCCACATGAGTGTGAAACGTCTGAGGTGGGAGCAGGTGGAGAACTCAGAAGGCACCATCTGGGGTCAGGTAGGTGGCTGTGTCCCTGGTGCGTGTCTCAGGTGTGAGGTTATGGCGACCCAGAAGCCGTGTGGGGCCGCAGTGTTGAGGACGAGACCCATCCTCAGAGCCTCCTCCAACACCTGCCCTGGTTTCCCCCACCCATGAGCTCCTGTGGTCCACGCTTGGTGTTTGCCCTTCACAGTGAATCAACCTGCCTTTGGCTGTGATGTGCCAAGTCCAGTCTGTGGTCCTGAGCCAAAGCCATACTGGGGACATCTAGAAGTGCCACCCCACTCACCCTGGAAGCTTATCAGTCTGGAAGCCTCACTAGTTTCTACCTGCCCTTAAGACCACAAGAAGGGCATCTGGGTAGAGAACCGTGCCCCTCACACTTGTTAGTCTTCTACAATTGATGTAGGCTCCTTCAAAGGCAATTATTGGGCCAAACCCCTGCACACCAGACTCCATCCTTCAACATGACCAATGTACACTTGACTACTTTCAGTGACAGGAACTCACTACCTTTCACAGAAGCCCTCCCTCGTATTGCTCTGAAAGCTTGTCCACCCAGGAGTGTCAGGTTTGTTTCCCCAGCACCCGCTTATTCTGCCCGGGGAGCACTTAGTGAATTGATTTCCTGCAAACAGACCTCAAACCAGGGCCAGACCCTTTGTTTACTTCCTCAAGCCCTCTTGGTTGGTTCCATCCCCTTTACAACCACATTGTCCTCTGCTTCAGCCCAACTTGCTAGCTCCTGCGCGGATAGTGCCCCATGTGTGAGTGTACTGTTGACCACAGGGGAGACAACTCATTACCTGATAACTTGGATGACTGAACCTCTTCGACAGGCTCCTCCTGCCTCGCCACCAGCTTATCGTAGGGCTTTATGGGGGCTCTCCCATGGGGAACCTCCAGGGAAGCTCTTAAATAGTTGTGGGGTGGGGAAGGGCAGTCCAATCATTGCCACTGTCCTCACTCTGAGTCTGTCACCCTCCTTCACAGCTCGGGGAAGACTCTGACTATGATAAGCTGAATGACATGGTGAAATACCTCGACTTAGAGCTCCACTTCGGCACCCAGAAGCCTGCCAGTGAGTGACCTGCTGGTCTTAGGGGGATGCTGGATATGAGGCCCTCAGTGACGGTCCAGCCACTGCTTTCTGTGGTTTAGTGTGGACAGTGTTTTGTCCTGTTGTGCGTGGCACCCAACAACAGCTCTGCACTGACTTGCATTTTCCTACTGGGCCCCGGACTTGGGAAAGAGACGAGGCTTTCTTATAAAGAGTGACAGTCTCTCAGAAACCCACAGTCGCTGTTCTAGCCTGTCCTGTAGGGTCGCTATGAGTCAGCATCGACTCGAAGGCAGTGAGTTTGGTTTGGTTCTTGCCCCCTGACTTACTTAACTTCTTGGAGCCTCCGCTTCCTCCTCTCAAAGCGGAGGTGATAATAATGGCTAGCATTTATAGCATGCTTTCCAAATGCTCAGGAGCCCTGGGAGCTTAGTGTGGTGTATTGGGCTGCTAACTGCAAGATCAGGAGTTCAAATCCATCAGGCATGCCAAGGGAGAAAGATGAGGCTTTCTGCTCCTATAAAGATTCAAAGCCTTGGAAACCCACGGGAAGAGTTCTACTCTGCCCTGCGGGGTTGCTGTGAGCTATAATAAACTCCACAGCAGCAGGGTTAGCTTTTTGGTTTGGTGACAAACACCAGGTGCTCTCCTTCCTAAATCAATCCTCTGGACAACTATACCGGATCAATACTGTGAACACCACTTCCCGATGAGGGCAGGCACAGAGGCTGGGCAATTTGTTCAAAGTCACCCCTCCCAGAGCACCATGGTCAGGAGGCGTCCACAAGCACATCTCCCAGCTTCTGTCTCCCCTCACCCCTGTCTGGGTATCTCTCTGTAGTTCTTGAGGGGTGCCCCAAGCAACCAGGGATACTGTGTGGGACTGGTGGTCCCAGGATGGAGAGGGATGGTTCTTGTGCAACCAGGAAGCACCTGAAAGGTTGAGAGGTAGCAAGAGGCTCAGTGGCTTTGACAGCTCAGCCCCAAGGGTGCGGGGAGAGAGAAGGTGGCAGTGGGCGTGCATGCCAGGCAAGCCGAGTGTATTCAAAGGAGCCTGGGAGTCCACCCATGGGTGGCTGAGGAACGAGGGAAACCTGGACATCTGGGAGGATTCTGTCAAAGGCCCAGGGGGTACACGGGGACAAAAGAAGGCTCTGACCCTTGGCAGTTCCTCCAGCTACCTGGACAGGCCCTTGGGGTTAGTCTAGCTATGGCCACACCACTCCCCTAGCCTAGTCTCGCTCACCTCAGCCAGTGTCTCTCCCAGAGCCAGCGCCTGGACCTGAGCCCTTCAGGAAGAAGGAGGTGGTGGAGATCCTGTCCCACAAGAAGGCCTACAATACCTGTGAGGACTGGGGGCTGGCTGGAGATGGCCCTGTCTCAAGGCCACAGAGCACCCCCCCATCTGTTGTCCGTGGGGTTCCAACACCTGTTTTCCACCCCCACCTCCACCCCCACCCTCGCCCATGAATGAAGGCTCCCTCCTAGGTCCCATCGCCAGCCCATCCCACCTAGGCACGTGTGCCATGTTGGCCTCGGCCCTTGATAGCCCCTCCCCCACGATGTAATCTACTCTGGTCCCTCCTCCAGCCTTATTCTCTCCGCTCCCTGGTGGTTTTGTGGGTTTGGCAGTGGGCTGCTAGCCCCTATGCCAGCATTTAACCCACTAGCTGCCCGAAAGAGAACGATGGGACAGTTCTACTCCGCCCTAGAGAGAGGGCCGTGAGTTTGGGCTTGTTCATGATTGCCCCGCGCAGGTACCACCGGAGGTCCTTGCCCCTGGCCTTCCACCCGCCCCTTTGATGGGTCCCTAGAAAGGACCAAGTGGGGACTTATTGGGCTGCTAATTGCAAGGTCAGCAGTTCAAAACCACCAGACGCTCACATGAGGCCATGTGCTCTCCTAAAGACAGTCTCAGAAACTCACAGAGCGTTTCTATCCTGACCTACAGGGTCGCTGGATGGCAGCGAGCTTGGGGCTTTTTGCTTTGTTTGTTTGTTTGATACTGACCTCCCTAGGACCTTGCCGCCCCCACTTCCGCCGTTCCTTGGGTGACTCCCTTAAAAGAACCTCTCCCAGGGGCCCCCTCGCAGGCCCCGCCCCATTCCTGGCCCCGCCCGCTGAGACGGCCCCGCCCCCGCAGCCATCCTGCTGGCGCACCTGAAGCTGAGCCCCGCCGAGCTGCGCC